TACTTCACTGATTTCGGGAATTGACATGCATTAGACAAAATGCACATAAAAGGTGACGAAGAATGATATTTTTATTTTTTTGTATTTAGACTAAAAATAAATAACATTAAAATTATTTAATAGAAATATATTTAGAATTTATAGAATTTTTTTTAAATTTTGATAACTTGAAAATGAACAAAGTTATAAGGGCTTATCGTTCCTTGAAGAAACGATATATATGTACATCAATTGGTCTACAAAAACATACTGCTTGAAGTAACTGAAGGTTTTCATTAATTTAGCGCAAGAATTAACTAATATTTAATTATTTAGGTTACAAAAATTCGAAAATAATTACAATTAAGTTGAACATACGAATATGGATGGGTATTCGCATAATAATAAAAGTGGCTCCCTTTACCATTATCGCTTCCTAACCTTAATGCGGCATCTGATGATAAGAAGTTTTCCCGCCTATGAACTATACTTTTTTTATCGGTTTTAATAAATTGACAAACAATATATTGAAGGAAGCTAGTCAACTGTTCTACATATCATGAGTGATAAACATGCAGAACGCAGTCTTTTAAAAAAATTGCTGTACTTTTTATTTGTAGCAACGTTTCAACCCAAACATGTGGGTGTTCTTCAGGGTGGGGTTCGAGCACTGAAGATGACCCACATGTTTGGGTTGAAACGTTGGCACAAATAAAAAATTAAATTTTTTTTTAAAAGACTGCGTCCTGAATATTTATTACCCATGACAAACAATATACATTAAAAGAATAGACGAAAACAATACGAGAGTGTCTGTGCTTCATATTTTTTACTGTAGCTTAAAATATCTTAAAAATAACTAAAAAAAATTGAGTTAATGTTAGATGGGTTTTATTTATAGGTTGATAAAATAACATAAAATCGTCATTCAAATTATGATTGTCATTGAGTAGCGTGAAAGAATATTACAACTAATAACGAAATAATGAAAGTGACACTTCAAGAATAGTAAACAATAAATAGAAAGACTAATCTCAGATTACAGCTCAACAGTTTATACTAATCCTAGATTAGTAATATCACAGATAACAAGAATCGACATCAGTATTGGTATAGCAAATTGATAGAAATTGATTATTATATTTTCAGTTATATTCAAACGTCCTAAGCATAGGGTGAGTCCGACAGACTTGCTATTTCTACATAAAGTTATAAAAATCCTCATGAGATTATGAATGTATTATTAATTTCTTTTAAAAACATGCCTGATCATTAAAACTAATGAGCAAATAGAAATGAATACGATAATTCATGGCCTGTTGTAACACAACATTCAGTACAAGATTAGTTAACTATGCTACAAAGAGGAGTATGTAAACAAACAGATTGATTAACTTTACCAACCTTGACAAGAGAATAAATTAACGACATGTTTAGTCTGTTCCACTAAACCTTTGTTGCAAAGGGTCGCTAGTAGTACAAATTGAAGTTAGCTGTAAAACTATGGACGATCCTCTAACTTAAAACGAAGTTATTTTCGTACGAATGACTATTATAAAAAAATAAATTTCATTAATAGAAAATTCTGATTGAAAATAAATTTACTGGCAACATAAAACACAACATATTGCTGCAGAAGAAGATAGATCAATTTATAATAGATAAAATCTAATGGATTTTATTGTCATATATTATATGGTCCAATATACATTATCACTTGTTTAAGCCGGTTCTGATATACGGTTGTGAGACCTCTAACCTTGAGATCAGAGTACAAATTCATGGAGAAGGATCAATAAACAACTTGTTACAGAAACAGGTTGATCAATATGACATGAAGGCAAGGAGATAAAGATGGGTGGGACATGATGTTCGAAGTTGGCAAGAAACTAGCAAAATGTGAGAAGACAGCAAAACATACAGAGAAAAAAATAATTTTTAATTCGTAAAAGGCTATAGTACCTAAAATAGAAAATTCAAGACGTTTGAAGAAACGAATTAAATAGACAACTTATCTTTTTTTTTTTGTCCTATAAAAATGTATTTGCGCCTGTTGAAATTCAGCATGTGCTGGCGATACAGGAAATAATAACATTACCTCTTCCTTAACTTGTTTCAATTCCTTAGGTTGGTTAATGAATGTGATCTCTCATCCAACGCCTTTTTAGTCTCCTCCTCATGTACTGAGGTATGTCAGCTGTGTACATGTATCTTATTAAGTCAGTTTAAATTAGTGTTAAATCGTTTTTAAAGGGTCGTTATATGTTGGTCAACTGTTGGAAGGTGGAAGACAGTACGTAGAGTTTTGTTAGTCACGTACCAAGATGCTTTTGTTATGAGTCGTAATAATTTTGATTGGAAAGTTTGAAGTTTTTGTAGGTGGGTCTTTTTAGCTTTATATTTGTGTTGAGTATGTCCATATGGATTTGTAAGCATGTAAATGTATTCAGTTTCTGTCTCTAATGAAAATTTATAAACGATTTTAATAAAATGTATTAATAAACGACGAAAAATTGTACCAAGAAAGGAAATAGTAACTAGGAAAAAGTAACTGAGAAAATATTATTTACATACTCAAACAGTTTTGGAAACACAATCTAATTAGAAATTGGTGAAACTCTCTCTCATCACAGAAAATGGGGGAGGGGGATTTAAATCATCAGTCCGCCGCTTAGAGTCATAACCATGATTCACTAAAAATATGTACAAGTGATGACTGACCGTGGAATGATGAGGTCCTGTTTTTCCTTTACGGCGTTTTCACTGAAGATTCTCACTACGAAGCGGTACGTCAATAGCTCGGTTTATGATTGCTCCGTATTAAAATTGAATGATGGTATAACAATATTGGCAATATATTATTTATGGTCGATAAGGAAACCTGTTAGTGGGTCTATCATCACGAACGTCACGTTTATGGTTTTCCTATAGACCTTTATTAGCACGGTCTTCAGCGTCACAAAAACAGACCTCTAAAATGGCCTTAGAGAACCTATAAAACGTCCACCTAGTCAATGGCATTTCAAGGTCTCAAGATTATTATCGGTCGATTAGCAATAAACAGTACAGTGACGATCTTATATTTATTTTATGAGTAAATATGAAAAATATTAATCGATCATAAAAACAAATAAAATTGCGTTAAAAGCATATATAATTCCGCGGTACAGACCCTTTTTTTATCAAATTATCTCTTCGTAATCAAAAATTTTTTTATCAATGAAAATTATCAGAATATGGGAATTTTCTCATTAAATTAACTGAAAAATCATCAAGAACCATTTTCTTTTCACTTGAATCATAACATTTCTTTTATGATCAAATTATCTTACGAATAAAGTGGAAAGCAAATGGATGTTCTTTCGCTTTCAGTATATCAATAAATTACCTAAACCGATCTCCACATTGAGAATGTTCCATTTCAGAGAATTTATGTAAATAATAAAGTTGAAGTTCACGAGACGTGTTTTAAACGAGGCCATTCAAGAAGTTTTAGATGGATGTTGATAATTTGATAAAAAGATGTCTGTAACCGCGTAATACAGTTTTGAAATGTTGAAATATCTATCATCGGAGTAGAAAAAGCAATACAAATTTTACTAAAGAATGAATGGACACCCAAAATGCTGAATCTACTCTACACATCAACTAGACATCGTAAGGAGTGACAATAAATAGAAAAAAAACAACAGAGATTATAAAAAAATCTACTCCGGAAATAGCTACGTTTTTAAGGGTTTAACCCTTGTAAAACATTAAATAAAAATAAAATAAATAAATATTAATAACCCAAAGCCCACAAGTCATGCGACAGAGAACAGTTTTGATAATTGTAAGCAAGACGAAACGAATTTCACATTAAACATGTGCAAACTATAAGCTCATACCTACCTTACCTGAGGTTCGTAAAATGACAAATACAAGTTAATTAGGAATTACTGAAATTACTTGCCGTCTGATTTTTAATAAATCATGAATACATTAGTTTGATGGTCGGAAATATATAATTTTAAATTTAAAAAAAATCTCTTTTCTCCTATAGCTTATTTTCAGTCATAATTTTAAAAATATAAATAAAAGAGGTTTAAAGAAATTTTATTTATTTATTTAAAGGTAGGAGATGGTCTGGGGTGGCGGTCATAAATAGGCTAAATTGTGGCAAAACTATTTAGCCTATTTATGACCGCCACCCTGGACCATCTCCTTCCTTTATAATGCAACGGTCAACTATTAAATATTCATTTTTTTTTTTTAATTTAATACATTGTGGATTTAAATAAAAATTTGAAAATCATTAGCGTTGCTTAAGGAGATATATTTGGTACACCATATTATATTATACTCATTTTGAAGCTAGAGTCACCAGAAATAAATTGTTATTTATTGTCTTTTTTACTCCAACTATAGTTTTACCTTATCCGTACTTTACTTTTTAGACTATAATGAAGGTCGAAACGTCGACATTGAACAAACAGTGGATGTTTTAAACGACCGATTCTTTTTCGATTTATAATAACCATCAAACCATACAAAGTTAGCATAGTTGTTAAATTAAAAAAAAAAAAGTTGGATTAAAATGTTTATATTTAATTTGCACCTGGCCACTTTTTTGTTTCAATAAACTTTAAACAAAATACAAACTACAAGTTATCTTCCACTTAATAAGACTTTGCTGCTTTCTATTATAAATATAAACAAATATAATTTATTTTTAGGTTTAATGCCTAAACCATTGAGTATTTAAAAATCGAAGCGAATATTTAGGAAAGAGCAACATACATCCAGAAGCAATAATAGAAATATAAGACAATATGTCACTTATGGACCTCTTAAAATGCACAAATACCATATATGTAACACAAAAAACACCACGTTTGTCCCTTTAAAATATAAAACCAACACCAATAAGTGGTCGTGCTTTATACATATAACCTATATCACTCGCATGCGTGATATAACATATTTTTTTTTTATAAATATTTTTATTTATTTAGGCAGGCAAAAATTTAAAAATTATTTACCCCGCCCATGCCTTTGTCTACAAGACCGACGCCGAGTTGAACCTGTAACAAGAAAATAACAAAACTCTTTTAAATATATAGTCCTACAACAAGCCTGGCACTATTGCTTATATTATTCGAAGGTGGTGAATAAATAAAATAAATCATAATCTAACATTTAAATAGATAATTTATATCATTGACCAGAAGTCTAATAATAATGAGAAAATGAATAGTGGGAACATAACATAACAAAAAAAAAAAAACATCAATGTTAGTCGCAAAGAAAAGGTTACATGGAGGATTAAAAAATGTGAAATGACGAAGAAAAGAAAAATTAGAAAGGAAGAAAATGATGAAAAACAATTGAGATGAAATCATAATTACTGTCTACAGCACTGGCAAACAATTATCAGATAAACGGAATAGAATAGAAACCGTTTTATCTTGAAAGCTATTAATATAGAAAATAAATTATATGGTGGATAGCTGAAATAACATAGTCTGTGTCGGTATATAGTAGTAACAGAAGTGACTCGGATAAGTCAGTATATAGTAAAATCGTGTCTGTTTTAAAAACATATCATTATTGTCTATCGGGCGGACGGGGTCATAACTATTATTTTCATCCAGTACTACCTCTAAATGTGTGATAGTTCGAATGGTTAGTAATGTACAAAGAAAAAGTAGTTCCTTGATATCCTAAAAGTATTTTGCTAAAACTGTTGACGTAACCTAAAAGCGAGGAGTAATTTATTTCAGTCGTTGATGGTCGATCCATTCATTCAAAAAACGGTTAAATACCTAAAAACCTAAACACATTACCCTACCAGTGGCTTCACATATTTAAAGAAAAAAAAAATTAATCAACAATAAACTTTTTAGTAATAACTACTATTCTTAGTCATAGGGCTATTTTTGAAAAGCCAAGCCTGAAACCGATTTATTACAATCTCTGTATTATTTTATAATACTATAATAAAATAGTAGTTATACAACGCAATTAATTATCATTAAAGCAAAATTAGTTTATTATTATCATTATTCAATAACGCTTCAAAATCCGTTCCAATATAACCTTGACAGAAATATATATAGCTGAGGAGAAAGTAGGCTGATCAAAAAAAAAAAAAAGGCTGGTGAACCCTAAACCAGTATCTCAGGTAAAAAGGGTATAATGGTACTAAGGGGGAAGGGAAAAATTATAAAAGGGTTCATCTTCAATAACCAAGGGGAAAATCCAGAAATCTGAAAAAAATAAACTAAAACTAATACTACAAGATAACACCCCTCTTCATCAAAATTAGATAAGAGAAGCAAATAATCCACTGAGATCTGAATGAATGAATCTCAGCAACAAGTAAAGGTGAGATGTAGTGAAGATAATGTCACATCGCAAAGTTGGAACAAGGCCAATCGAGACTTGATGTAAGGAATTACTAAAATTGCTGGGTTTGCAAGCTTTACCAGCAAGACACAAACACAGGTGGGATTCTAAAGCAAACGGATCTGCAATAGAGTACGCGAAGAGCAATATTTTATGAAAGGAGAAAATAAAAATTAACAGTTTATCTTTAACGTCATTATATATCCAAGTGAATCCTGATATTGATATTACTACAAGTATAAGGGAATTGATTAATACTAAGGACATTTTTTCGTAAGTATAGAATTTAATACATATAAATTAAGTAGATGTGAAATAAAACCGATGTTGAAGATAAACGAAACGAAATTAATAATCATGCATAGGCTTCGACATCGGATAAGTGATCGCCTAAAATAAAAATGTTGAGGGGGCGAAAATATAGTTTAGCACCTCCCCCAAATAAATTCAAGTAAAAAAAATATATTAAAATAAATAACAAATAATCTACATAAATAAACAAAATATTCAAAACTAAAACCAATTAAGCAAAGTCGACAAGCTGGCTAGGCCAGAGCTTTAAGTAGGTCTATAACTATTTTATCACGACCTAAATATTCCCATTATTTAAATTTTCATTCATATTCAGAAATAATAATATAGAAACATAACCTAGGATTTAATAATTCATTCAGTTCTCATGTCGACACCTTCATTTTCACGCCATTTTCTTATTTATGTTCTACGTTGAAGTTAAAAAAAAAAATATTCAATAAGAGTAAAAATAAAAATATTTTATAGAGAATGTTTTTATAAATATTTTTACAAAATTAATAGAGTGCTAAAACATTGTATTTTTTTTGTTCAAGGTTGTACAAACTAATAAATCAAAAATATTTGTCAGTTTATTGACGTTATTTAGTAACTGTCCAAACATATAAATAAATTAATTTTAAAATCTTCGAAATTATATTTGTTCGTTCCACAATTGTTATGTTGAATATTTACATTTTAAATAAAATATAAATGACTGTTTTTTTTTTTGTTTTTTTATGTCCACCAACCCCCTCCATCCCAATCAAAATGGGAAGTCTGTGCCTATTTAATCATATATAAAACTATGAATGTATGTGTATATATGTGTATATATATATATATATATAAATAAGCTACATAAATAAACAAAATATTCAAAACTAAAACCAATTAAGCAAAGTCGACAAGCTGGATAGGCCAGAGCTTTAAGTAGGTCTATAACTATTTTATCACGACCTAAATATTCCCATTATTTAAATTTTCATTCATATTCAGGAATAATAATATAGAAACATAACCTAGGATTTAATAATTCATTCAGCTCTCATGTCGACACCTTCATTTACGCGCCATTTTCTTATTTATGTTCTACGTTGAAGTAAAAAAAAAAATAAATATATTCAATAAGACTAAAAATAAAAATATTTTATAGAGAATGTTTTTATAAATATTTTTACAAAATTAATAGAGTGCGAAAACATTGTATTTTTTTTTGGTTCGAGGTTGTATAAACTAATAAATCAAAAATATTTGTCAGTTTATTGACGATATTTAGTAATTGTTATTTAGTATACATATATATATATATATAAACGAGAAGGTTCAGAGTCCTATCACGTACACAAGCTTATATGAAATGGATTGGTCGTCAGAACGGGAAGGTTTCCAAATCACGTACAATGCAGGGGCCAAATTGTTTGCTACGGCCAATGAAGATGGTTGTGTGCTTCACCCGTAATAATCCAACTATAACTAATGGATTAATAATAACAACTACAAAATAAACAAAAATAATGGAATTTATTATTATTATCGATATTATAAATTCTTCTGAACACATATCATTCATTGAAGGAAGTTACTCGAAAATTCTACATATCCCTTGCGATAGATCGATAAAATTTAAAAAAAAAAAAAATATATATACACACACACACACATATATATATATATATATATATATATATATATATATATATATATATATATATATACATAAAACCATTACTTGAACACCTTCAGTGCTGGTAAAATGCCATGATTATCATTGGTCCACAAACTTGGGTTGAAAAGTTGACAATAAAAATCTTAAAAAACTGACTGTGTCCTGACTGTTTATCACTCATGATATTATTATTTAATTTTTTTTTTTTAATATCATGTGTAATTTAACTGTTCCAAAAACGAAATATTATACATAATTTATTTGTTTTGTATTTGTTGTATTCCATTACCGGTGAATAATAAAAATTTCCCGTTTAGGAGGAGATTATTTAATAACTCAGCGTATATATTATTCCTTAAGGATCTTGAGGTTAAGTAAAAAAAATAAAGAATTATTTTTGGTGACTTATCGAGACATCACATATTCGAGACGTTCTTTTAGCAAATATGATTTTGTCAGTCAATTTATAAACTAAGTAGTATTAATTCTTATAGTTTTACGAACTTAAATCATTATTTAAACAAAGGACATTCCGCGCGAGTTAAGCTGTAAATATTAATAAATAATAAGTAGAAATAATTTCATGGATATTATAAACATCTAAATCTTGGCCATAGTCAACAATAGGGAAAACTCAACCTATTATCGGAAGAACTTTAAAAAATTTTCAGGCTCAATTTACAAGGTAATTAAAAACTACTCCCACTTACATTACAAAGTTCTCCTAGCTCTAAGTGGACTGACAGATATTGGCAGGGAGTAGCTCGAAAGCTCCCGAACTTAATCGAGTTACCAACTCGCAAAAGTGGTTACACAGTTGCAGGCACATAATCAACTTCCACCTGCATGCTTAAACGAAGTTCTTTAATTCAATTAGTTGCAACTCCATCGTACTTCTACTTACTAACCATTGACCAAGAAAATTCAAATTTAATTTTAGTTTAAAAACGTCTGATCCATGGAACGTACCGTTTTTTCCCACTCAAATGGTATTATCAGATCTAATAACCAACATTCTACATATTTAAAAAAGTTAACGAATAAGTATCTGATCAAAAAGGTTTGGAATTTTCTTCGTATTTTATTACTGTACAACGTTTTAGTCAAATTGAAAAAGAAACAAATAACCGTAAATCATTTGGTTTGACGATTAATAACAAAATATCAAAATTGTAGTGCAAAATATTATGTCAGAGATTTTTATCACATATTTAAAAGCGTAAAGCTTCGTAGGTTTTTGTACCTATATAGAAATTTTATTACGTTCAACATGAAACCTCTGTAGCATTGAGCTTAAAATACGAGTATAAGGAAAAATGATAGAATTAAAAACAAAAACTTTACTTAATATTATTTTATTTATTTTTTACCGAGGTATCTAAGAAAGGAAAATAAAAATTATGCCGCTAAAAATTATATTTTAAAATATTAAAGAATAATAAGTGCTGTTGTCAAAATTTTGCCATGGTGAACACCATAATAATATTAATTTTATATAAAAAATAATCACAGTAATAGTGAACACCATAATAATATTAATTAACGAATAATAATATTAAAATAACGAAGGTTTACGCTTTTTTATTTTTCTATGGTGGCTATCTTTTTTATAAAGAAACAAACATGTTATTTTAATTTAAGTGGGAACAAGATCACTCATGACGGAAGCAGAGTAAGCATCTCTCTCACTACAAGTATTTTTTTTTGCAGAGGTTCGGTGTCATGAAAGGAAGCAGATGCAGACCATGACAGAAACTATTATTTTAGACTCTTTAGGAGTCCTCTATCACCACATATATTGATCTTGGCCTTCATTTGTTTGATTCCATGAACATTTCTTGGCATATTCGTTATGTATTACAATGGTCCGAACTAACTCTCTTTTAATCTTTTTCAATATTATCGGTAGATTGATGAGTATGCTCTGTTTCGTAACTCAACATACTTGAGCAGCCGTGCAATATTATTATAGTTCTCTCTCACACATTAAATGAAATTAATTACTGCAACTCAAAACGATCTTCAAAGGTTTGTTTAACCCTTTTGAGCGAGCCGAAAACCGAAATGCGACAATACAATTAAAGCTATTTAAGAGCCGAGTTTTAACAGAAAAATCTTAATCTAAATAAATGTTTGTTGTGCAGCTGATATCTTTGCAGTGTCAACTACTGGCGTGTTTTCTTGTCTACAACTGGTAGAATGATGTCTATTATTGGGGAAAAACATGTTCTCGAAAATTAACTAAAAAACGACCTAAATATCAATGTTTAAGTTATCTTAGAAGCAATTTAGGTCACATAAGAGTGTTATTGGACAAATATAGCAAAAGAAGGAAACTTAAAAAGAATCTAACGAATTACATTTAAAATTATTGGAAGAGTCTCACGATAGTGTCTACCTACTTCTGGTGACTTTACCCTAATTTATGATAACTTATTCTAACAATTTATTTTAGCTACTTAACTTCTTTCCCGAAAACAGAAAACCGTCCAACAATAAAATTAAAATTAATTTCTATTTTAGTTTAACTGGTTTGAGAACAAAAAATGTTCTAAAAAAAATATATAAATATATATGGTGTGGAGCCACACGGCACAGGACATATATATTTATATATGCATACCTGATTGATCCATGTAAATATGGTACATAAAAACAATTCTTCATATGATCTCCTTAAAAGATAGTTTTCCATTTAATATATAACAAATTCAAAATTTTGTATATATATATATATATATATATATATATATATATTATTTTGAATACAGACCAATGTGCTTAAACCTTAATAAGGAGCATACTCGGCAGGTTTGTATGTAAGAGGAGGTTTAACGTCAAAGGGAACTCCTGTTGAATACAGGAGCCCTAAAGGGCTGTTTCCGAGCCTGGTTGATATATAATGCCTCAGCAAATCTGCTTGATCAAACATGTTTGGAGATGGGTAAGTAGTCGACTGTTTGGATTATGGGGATGAAACAAAATAGTCGGGGATTTCAGTCAAAATTCATTAATAATGATGATGACCCTCATCGAAATGTCGACTAACTCGTTAAAGCAATTTTGACTGAAATTTCTGACAATTTCTTTTCATCCTCAAAAACATATTTGCATTGCATCAAGGGAATATCCTTAACATTATATTAGCAAACTGATAAAACATTGTTTTTCTTTTTTTTTAACACCTGATTCAGGATGAAACAAATGATGACTATATTATTCCGTGATACTGACCTCTTTTTATCGAATTAATAATGTCCCTCTAAAACTTCGTAAATAGTTTCATCTTCATCGTGACCTACAAATATTTTATTTACGGAAACCCTAGGAATTTCCGGAATTGGACGTTTTCAATCTGGAGGGGGGCAAACTTCGTCTATTTAATTAGCTACTAAAAACTCGTAAATAATCATTTGATTTCTTCTTGGATCGCAAGATAATTTGATCACAAAATCGAGAAGGTGACTTATAAAAATACTGAGCAGTTTGGCGTGACGTAAACCCTAAAATTTTCAAAATAACGATGTTATATAGGACAAACGACCCAATACTTTTGAACACCACATTTTTTCTCGACTTTGTGCTCAAGTTATCTTACGATTAAAGTGCAAAGCAAATGATTATATACGAGTTTTTAGTAACTAATTAAATAGACAAAGTTTGCCGCCCTCCAGATCGAAAACGTCATAATTCCTAGAGTTTTCGTAAATAAAATAGTTGTAGGTTACGATGAGATAACGCTATTTACGAAGTTTCAGGCGGATGTTATTAATTCGATAAAAATGTGCCTGCACCACGGACCAAATATTAGGCCTTTCAATTGACAGAACGACCAACTCCAATTACATTTTTTTGTTATTAATTTTAGCGATATTTCTAGTGGGAAAATTTAGATCTTTATTCATATTTGTTTATTTCAACACTGCAATCGCCTACTCTGGAACCAACTTGCTCACCATACAAATATACATTTTTACAACTAGAAATATCGCTAAAAAGTTGAAACTGGAGTAAGTCATTATGTTAACTAAAAGTCTCATATTTTTACATAGTCAGTTTATGGTTTGTTATTGTTTTAGTTATATTAAAAAAAGTAAAACAATATACTAATTCAGTTTAATATTATATACAATACATACAATAATATGTGGGCGTTAGGATGAAATTTATTGCAATGTTTGATACCTTAAAAAAAAAAAAAAAAAAATCAAGCTTTATTTATAATGAAATAAATATAATAAAAAGGCTATTTTTCACTTGTGGTGAAATTGTGGGTGTTTGAAATATAACGCTCAAAAGCAATTAACAATATAAAACATTCCTTTGGCTTAAATCCGAAAAGCGATGAGCAGCTTATTAATTACATTCGACGCAGGTGAGTGTAAAGGGCATAATTCAAAATATCAAATCCAATAAAACCGCTCAACAATAAACCATTACTGCATCGGATTCTAGGGAACCAAACTACAGGCAGCAAATATGCTTGATTTGCGACGTTACCAATCACACGGCAGATCGAATAATTAATTAATTCCGAGGCTCGAACTTGGATAACAGAGTAATCGCTTCCGAAGGGGATTAGCGCTTGCTTCGGGTTAAACATGAAATGAAGCATTGTATAAACCAATCACGGGCAATCATAACTTGCAATTTGTTGGTCGTGACAGAAAATTAATTAATTATTAACGGACATATAGTGAACAGATATAAGTTATACCTAAAAACGATATGGGAACAATTTTTCATAATTAACAACTTAATAATACATTTTGGCATCGATGCACTAGCTGATCCAGGATTTAATTTTGGGGGGAGGGGAGCTTGAGCACGAAAGGTTTTTTTTTTTATTTAAAAATAACGATAATCACTTTGGAAAAAAAGAAAGAAACTAACTTCCTATATGAAATGGTGTTTAAGTGATTAATAAAGCCCTTTTAAATGTAATTACACGAACAATAATACTTTGAGAGATAATTTTTTTTGATAAAACCTGGTTATATTTTCCCTTTTTGGATGAGGGCTTCAGCCCGTGCATCGACGTAACATCATAACGCTTAGATTGCCTAACAACTACCGTGGATCACAGGCGGATCTACGGGGGAAGGAGAGGGGATCTTTTGGTCTGAAGCCCTCTCCCCCAAAAATGATAAAATATAACCCTGGATCCGTTAGTGCCATGGATATATCCTCTATCTGCCGTAGATGGTTGAAGAGTTTAACCTAATGATGCGGGTGATATCGAATTCCTTATAGACAAAATAAAAACCCCGTTTTTTTGTTTTCTCCCTACTCGAGACGTAGCTTGAAACATCATATAGGGATAAAATATTTTTGGCTAATCCCAATATTTTAGTAGACATTCTCGGCCTGTAAGAAAAAAATCTATTCATGTTCCTTATTTCCCCAATAAAATGCTCTCGAAATATATTCTCTATCTGTTACCTCCTGTCGTTCACCAATCTGACTTTTAAGTATAAAGCCTGTTTTTACTTCAAAGAATTCGTTGTTCAGATTGAAATAAGTAGCCTACTGCATGAAGATATTTTATACCATTTAAATGTTTACGTATTAATATCATCAACTTTCCTAAACTTATTTTAACTTTCAAATAATTAGTTCTATAAGAAATTGTGGAATGAAAACATGGCAGATATTCACCTTTAAGTTGCGCGAAAGGTGTGGATTCAAAACTAGCCTAGGGAAAGAGATAGTTGTTAACCTATAACATATATTTCTAGTCATTTATTTAGAGTTTGCTAGTTGACATAAGATTTCGAAATAACTTCGGACGACTTGGCGAATACCAAGTCGGAACTGAATAATCGGTAACTGTTTCATTGTAGGGGCTGCTCAATGAACCTCAGATGTGTGGAATCAAAAATAAAACCCAAGTTCTAAAAATGTGTGTGTTCTAAAAAGGTTTTCGTAAGCTATTATGGAATGTTTTGATGGCCATCCTTAAAAAACAGCTTGCAACGAAGTAAACGTTATACCGCACCTTGGAATGTGCCAAACAGAGGATCTAACTGTAGGATGGAACCGTAATGATACAGTCGGGGAGGAAGTTAGCCAATCCTCCAAGGACAGGGGTCCTCTTGTAGCGACCTTACCAGGATTTGCAAAACATCCTGGCCACCGCTTATCCGTCAGCGCCATCTCCATTTCACATCCCATAACTTAATTAGTGTCCTCTACATCCAAGCCGTGAGAGAATAACTCCGACCTTGGCCGAACGAACAATCGGTTAAATGCTTTAATAATGGATGGAAGGCACGCAATAAATTAAATAAACCAAGGTAAACAACAAATGGATGTATAAATTGAAGCAATCATTAAAGTTTCGTAATTTCATAAATTGAATTGCTTGCCCTTGATTACAATTACTTCGGGGCAATAAGATGCGATATCATCCCAGCCAATAGCTGGAGGGCCATTAACCATTAACTGATATACTAAATGCAATCTAACTTCCGACTAAGGAAGAATAAATGGGATGTGAATCAAAAAAGGGTCATACGTGAATATTTGCCAATGCCCATGGATGCTTGCCAAACAATAAGACATTTGGTCAGCACATGGACAGCTGCTGACACTGCTTGGATAGAAATGGTGTTATTGCCAAGCGATTAGTTCTCTACGCACGCCCAAGTCTATTCTTGTTCAACATTATACTCTTATTTGATTTTAATAAAACAATCCTTTAAAAATTCGTTCTCTTAAATATTTAAAATAACTAAAAACCATTGTATTGCTAACACTGGCGGATTTACGGATGAGAGGGAGGTCTTTCGGGGTGAAGTCTCTCCAATGTGGCATAATAATTAACAACCACAATATATTCTCTTTTTAAATGATAACTCATAAATGCATCACGTGCCTAAAAAGAAATAAAAAAATTATCCCTAAAACCACTATTATTTTTATAATTAAGTAATTTTTTTTTATCAAGTCTTTAAGGACCACTTGTATACAGAGATGGGCAAAAGCTACTCTGAGTACTGAGTACCAAGTATTTTACTCAAAATACTGATATCTTTTGAGTACTGCAGAATTTAATCACTACTTCATTTCAAGTCAAACGATTAACTGAAGTAGTGATTGCATTCCCAATAGTTATTCAATTTGAGTAAAATACTTCGTACTCGGTATTCAAAGTAGCATTTGCCCATCTCTGCTTGTACACTATTCATATAATTTATTCATTTTTTCTCAAAGTTAAATAAAAACTTTTAAAATAAAATTCTGATTACTCTACTGATTACTAGGATCTAACAAACTAGGATGATGTTCAATATTTCAGCTATAGCAATCGTACAGACTGGGATGAAATTTAAATATGATAATTTTGTTCATGAAATACAAAAAACCCTTATTGATCTGAATTTGAATATTTTTTTTAACACAAGAGGTGTGTTGAGGTTGGCGATTTTCATTAATAATTTGATTATTTTATTCGATATATAATTATTCTTATAATTCAATTAGTACCCTTCAAGTGTCGCACAAAAATCAAAATATAAATGTAATTTCTATCAAAAATATTACGAGATTTTCACAATTTATTGTTCCTTATTTTTTCAACTTACTAATATCGCCATGTAAATGTGCTTATATTCTTGAAATAGGATCTTTACATATTATTATCGTGCACATAATTCGAATAATCGTTGTTTAATTTCCCTTGGTAATCGTATTAAACACATACATAAATATTTTCATATATCTACGTTCTTAAAACTTTAATTAATTCAAACTTCTTAAAATGCTATTGCTATAAAATTAAAACGAATAATTTCCTGAAAACTTAATAAATACAATGAATGTACTTACAAATAATGAATGGAGGGTCTGTGCTTTATTATGAAAAAAAAAAAAAAAAAAGAAAGAAAGAAATGAAATCATGCAAATGAAGTAAACATGACAGAAATTTATGAGAAATAAATTAGAGTATTCGAAGTTAAAAATGAGGGATGAAAAAAAAAAACAAGTCATGCAGAAGAAAAGCAGAAAATACAAAATGTTAAAGATCTTTTAATAAAATTAGAAAGAAATAGATTCAACAAGGCATTACAGGTAAGAAACATATTTCAAAAAGCTTATACTATTGCAAAGAGTAGAAAAAAATACACCAAGCCACCCAATTGCTTCATCTATATAAGAAAAATTGAGAAATAATCTTCTCACATTCTTTCACAACTGAAATTTTCTCAGATTAGTAAATATAAAAACCATATAATATATAAAATAAATGAAACAAAGAACATGAAAAACTTGAGAATTTTTATTCTATTTATAAAGTAAAAAAACAACTAAGGATGGACTTAATCATATATTTTTTCTACTCACTCAAATTTCTACATCCAAGTATTATCATGGTTAAATAATAATAAAAATGTACTAAACTATATAAAAAATCATATATCTATGTTTAAATTGTATTCTCTCTCTATTATTTTAATAATTTATTTTTTAGAAAATAATTTTAATTGATAACTTCATCACAGCTATTTTGCGTCATTGGAAATTCGATAAATAGATACAATAAAATAAATTATAGAGGCTCAGGTTTATTAACTTTGATTACACCACTGAATACAATACAAAACGACGCAAAATAACTAATTTTATTTTCATGATATGCAAGTAAATTGGTTAATAAACTACGGTACTCTTTTCCAACTACTGTAAAAAGCCAATAAAAATCATGAATTGAATTAATAGCAAAGAAAAAAAAAACTAATAATAATAATAAAAGATTATTTTTTAGTATACTTTGAGAGAAAAATAAATTTAAAAGGATATTAGCACAAACAAAATAAAATAAAATAAAAATAAAAAGTGATGGTGGCAGGGTGACAAACCTGATTGGGGAGGTAAAGTTGTCCCTCAGAGGTACATACCTGCAACCAAAAAAAAAAAAATTGTAATATATATATTTTTCACAACAAAAAAATTTAATAAAGACTATTAAGATACCAGAAAGTAATAAAAATATACCATTTTTTTATCTTACAAGTATTATAAGTACATACACTATAATATAGAAAAGAACAGAAATTGTTACTGTATAATTCAAAAAAATTAAGGCATTGAATTACGGAATTGAAATAACATTTCAAGAATATCCATCATGCAAAATAAAAATCAAATTATTAACGTTTTTCTAATTTGCAGCTTAATGGTCTGGTCTATTTTTAGCACAAGTTATGATAATTTTTTTTGTTACTAACAGCATAACAGTATTATATTCCTTCCTTCAAACTCTCGTAAAATATATAGAACTTATAACACAAGAATTTCTCATAAACCTTTATTCAGGTTTATGAGAAATTGTTGCTACTGTTACTAGATTCTGCATTAAACTTCCCTGTCCCATCTTAACGCTCTAGTTAAAAGGGTACCCCACCCCACTTTAACAGGACAAGTTTTGGACCTTAAAAAGTTATATTAAGGCAGTATAAATAAACAATTACAAAAAACACAAAGGAGAATGGTCACGACTTTTGACATATGGATAATGAAATTTTTGTGTTTGGAGTGTGAAGTTCATACACGAAATGAAACTTCCAGGGCATGGGCATACATACTTAAAAAATTATGAATATTACTTTTTTTTAAAATTTCGCTATAACCTGTTAACGAGTGAAAAACATGTCAAATAACGATTTTCTTCAAGAAGTAATTCGAAGAATTTTGGTGGATTAATACAATTACGAGTTTTTTTTTTTGTTATTTGAATTTTATTGTACCTTAAGCCATTCCGATTATAATATAATAGTTATGAAATGCTGTATAAGATTTTGAAGATATTCTTTTTTCTTTTTAAATAATCAAAACTTATAGTTTAATATTTGAAGAATAGTAATACAATCAACCACAATCAAGGACATTTGGTATTATGGCTTAATGCTTACATTCATACTTTTTATAAACAAATTAGATAATAAAATTCTTCATAAAACATAAGTAAAGAAAACACAATAAATAAAATTCATAAAAATGCAAATAGAGAGAAAAAAAAAATGGAAAGCAACTTTAAAAAGAAAAAAATACATTGCAAGAAAAAAAAAAATTACTTGTGAAACATTCATTCCCATATATAATATTTACATTCAGCCTAGGGAACTAGTAATGCTTTAATAATGTTTTTCTAATGAATAATGTTTTGCCTCTCTCATATGAAAGACAAAGCAGGGCTCAGAGACCTAGACGCTTCTCAGCATATAGTGTATCTATCAATCAACATACAGTCTATCAATTGAATATACAGTATTCAATAATACTGTATATTCAATTGAAAAATGTTAATGCAATAATGTCACTTTATTCTTGTCTGTAAGAAACGCCATTAGGCCTTAAGACAATAAAAATATCAATCAATCAGCCGCATCACTATAAATATAGCAAATTTGATCATTTATGTTGTTGTTTCTGTTGATTTCTATTTTTTGTTTTATTTACAGTTTGCAAATATATTTTTTAATGGACGTGTATAACATTAATAATAGCTCTTAAAACACCATAGAAATCTACGTATTGACTCATACTATAGTAAGGGAATATTGGTCTAAAATATAGCTACTTACGGACTTATATATTAAATATACTGACGTTTTAATTTTGTGGTTTTGACTACTATTAAAATGGAATGGGTATTCAATAAATCATTAAAAAAAATAAATCGTAAGATCCGGTTTACATATTTCAATACACCAGCATCACAGATGGAAACAAAAAACACAAGAAATAAGGGATTTACAAGTTTCTGTATTTCCAGAGAAACAAACATATTTGTCCTTGGGGGGGACATTGGGAATCTCAATTGTCCTAACCTATTATAATTTTAAAAAGAAACAAAAGAAAATTGGAAAAGGTAAAGCCTTGTGTAAAGCCCGCTAAAAAAAAAAAAAAAAAGAGATGGTTAATAAAGAAAAACTGTGTAGAAGCCGAGACGGGCTGTAAACTTCCTAACTTCCTTTGATTTCTCTTGAAAAAACAATATCATATGGATCGGTCACAAAATGGAGAAAAACAAATTCCCATTATCAGGAATATCCCATTTGGACATTCGTGTTTCCCATAATTTCCGAAATGTGTGAACGAACCTAAGATCCTTCCTTCCTCTACCTGTGCCCCCGGCCACAACGTTCAATAGAGGTCAGATTTCCCCAGGTGCATGAAGGTATTTCAACAGCGCAGCTGGGTAAATTTTTTTTATGCTCAGTCATCCGACATCCATTCTGCATCTTTCCCATGGCTGCCACTTCTGCCTTACCGATAGTCATCTTGATAATATCGGCTGGAAGGTCGGGGAGAGAGAGTATTCGTCGTCTCTCGGGACCAGCGTTTTATGAAGTTTCTTAAGCACCATCAACTTTCCCTTGTTGAACATATCGTGCGTGCTCAAAACCAGTTTTCCCTCAAATTCCAAAAGGTCACTGAAAACGATGCTTTGATCAACCTAACGGTAAGGGGGGGGGGGGAGGGACGTAGAAGAAAGTAAATCTACACAGATTGTAACGTGAATGTCTAAAACGTAAGGAGGAATAGAGCTTTTTTTTTTTATTATTTTTTTTTTTGGGAGTTGTCAAGCTTATTATTGAATAGAAAATTTAACGAAAAAAACTACGTCAAGCAATCATAAATAGAAGCGACGTAAATTAGACATTATTTTCTTCAGGAATAATGATTACAAACTACTTGTTTTATCATTTTTTTTTCTGTGACCTGAGATGTGTTCTAATTAATTAATTATTTTTAAATAATTAATTTTTTTTTATTAGAAAATTTCTTTATTGAGATATATTACAATCTTTAAACATTTAAGGGCAATAGTAAAAAAGTGATTAAGAGTAGCTCATTCATACTATGCACAATAAATTAAAATAACTAAACGGCAATATAATAATACTAAAAATATAATTATTATCATAATTAACAATAAAATTTAAATTAAGTTTAATGATATTATTTATACGATTTATGACAAAAAAATAACTTTCATATGTACTCCATTAAATATTATATAAATTATGATTGTTAGTTCACACATGAAGGCTAGAAAATGACATGCACTAAAACATTATCATAATCATGTATCATAAAAATATTTAACATAATTAATACATTCTTAATAGAATAGTTTAACTTGTTATTACAAGAATTGTTGATTTAAAAAAAAAAATATTAACTTATATGCTGATTGACAACACTAAAAATACGATGAAACAACTAATTGTGAGAATTTTACCGAAGTGATAATCACAATCACACCAAGGTCAGTAATTTTTTTTTAATAAGCAATTAACATTTGATATTGCCAAGACAATCGCAGGTAATGATATAAACTTAATTTACAAGAGAAATACCAAACAAAAATTATAATATTTACTTATTTATTTAAACAGATATATAAATTTTATGTCAGGAAATAGGAACTGTAGAAAATCTTTTAACCATCGCCTTAAAAGTCGTCGGAATGAGAGGCGTCATATTGTAAGTCACTCCTTGGCAGAAGTTTTTATAGTTTTGTGTTGCAGTATGTGAAACCGTTTAGATGTTTGAGTTCTTGTGCAGCAAGTCATTTGTCAAATAGAACTACACGTCCTTTTATAAATACTTTTGAATTTTGAGATGTGAGAAGTTTCTCTGTGTCCCATAGCTTACTTCCTTATGTCCATAAACAAATTTTAAATTATTCGTAAATGGTAAGTTTGTTAGTTAAAGATAATTAGGAGCCTTAGTTTACTAGCATGGACCATAGTCCAAATCAATTGTGATTTTTAAAAATATATATTTATGTTTCTCGAATAGCTATTTTCTATTAGGAGCTTCCTAATAGATCGATCGTCACAAATCCTGCTCAAACGAAGCCTAAAATAATAGTCCAATCCTTCCTGAAAATAAACAGTAAATGTTTAAGAATGTAGAACCAATGACAAAGGGTTCTTGGTACAAAAATCATTATCTCCTTATACGTTGCAAATCCTTTCAATGTAAGGAGAAAACGATCCCCCATTACAGGACAATCTATGACAAGCGGGGAAAGATCAAATAGGCGACATCAACATAAACCCGAACATGAAAAGGGTAATAGCCAATAGATCGACGAGGCATTTATCGGGAGGAGGGGTTTTGGGGAACTAGCCCCCACCCCTCCTCCTAACTGCGAGGGATATTCAATAAACCTCCTCCAAAACCGATAAAGACCTAAGCCAAGGGGCAACCTTATGAAATATTCGGCCCAGGAGAGGTTTTGTGCCTCTCGGTAATCAGTTCTTCGGGAAATTGGAAAACCCTTCTACCTCCCGTTCCATTGCCTTTTTTTCTTTCATTTTCTTCTCGATCCAGTTTTACTCTCAATTCCCTCTTTTAGTTGATATATCGCTGCTCCGGCATTTATTAATAAACGTAATACATAATTAATACACAGGGAAAAAAATATTAGTAGAATTGAGTATCTTATGCAAGCAATGGTATGTTTAAATACTACCATAACAAGAGAATAAATAGTCACCTTAACTCATTGCTCAGTAAAAGAATGTGGCTCAGTCTACTGATCTGTCACTCTTTTTTTACCAATCACTAATTGATTTCCGTATTAGCTCTTAAGAATCAGTTGATAAGTGGCCTGTTTATTTCTAATCGCCATGCTCTTCCTCTTAGCTAACGCCTCATAATATTTAACAGCTGTTACTTTCATTGAAACAATTAAACGTAATTTGATATAATTTGTATAATTTAATGTATAATATAACTTGATCGTATAAGAAGTAATTGAGAGAACAAATAAAAAATTTATGATAATTACTTAGGATTATTAATAAAAAATTAGAAATAATCCACTCTAAAGCGTAAAAAAAAAGTATTAGTGTTAGTACCTAATATAATATTTAAGAAC